TATTTTTTTTTTTTTTACCTTCAAGCCAACGTTTATGCCCATAATCAGACTTTACGGTGAATAGCTTTTCATACAATTCTCGTAAATAAATCTCCAAATCGACCGATGTACGTTCAATTAAATCGTTAGTAATTGCCTCATATTTTTCATACTCTGCATTATTAACGAAATATTCGACCACTACATCAGCCCAAATGTCGATATATTGTCCGGTATGGTAGACATCTCGTAATAATGACCTATGTTGATAACATTTATTGATTTCACAATCACATTATTTAAAATTGTAATCTTCTATTTTTACATATAAAATATATGTTAACGATAAATGAAGAATACTATTATCAATTTATTGTACTCACTTGTGGCATTGAAATCCATAATACATTTCTTGTACAAATTTTCGATCGTATTCATTTTATTTTTTGTTTATGATTGAATATGCAGGTTAGTTGAATAAATGATAGTTTGTATGCGTACTTGTTCAGCATAGAGCGTTACAAGTAAAAAAAAAAAAATCATACATTTCGAGTTGTTGGGATAGGGTATTTATATTAAAAACTATACTTAATGATCTATACATGTTCATAGCTAATACTTCACCCTCTCACATGTATAACGTTATATACAATGATACATGTCACATTCATTATTCAGTAATTATATATGAATTTTTAGGCAAATAAGCAATAAACACATCATAGTAAAATTAATACTTTCTATGAGTCCCGTCAAAGTTAAACTTTTTTTAAAACTTGATTACATTATTAATAGTAACAGGTAGTATAACAATATTTTCTTAATAGTCACATTATTTAAGAATTATTATTATAGCAATTTTCTTAACATAAACACTTTATAAAAATGTAAATTCCCATATATGATTTTCATGTATGAAAATACTTTTTCTTATATTACAACTGCATATGCAATAGTACCAACAGAAAAAAAAACTAGAGATCTCAACTTCTATAAGTGAATAATTATAAGTATAAACGGGTGATTATAGACATATTAATGTGAAAATAATCAAGTGGCATAGAAAGTGTCTATTATTTGGAAATATATGTCCAGTGATAATTTATTTAGTTCTTATATCTAACGTAGTACGTAATCCATATATATTTATCTGTCTATCTCTATCGATCATGATCGGGTTAGATCAAATCGATCAACAAAGATCAATATACTAAAGTATCTATTTTCATGTATAGTATATGTATTACACATGAATCATTTAAGTATATTATACTTATAGTGTACCATAAGTATCTACGATAACGTATCCTAGTTATGTGAAGTGATTAGTGTTGATTTATTAGCAATTGTCTTACTATATGTATACCTATATACATTATTGAGTATGAACAGTATATACCTTACGACGTGTGCTAAAAAACATTATTTACTGATAATAATTAATAACTGTTCTAGTATACATCTATAATATACATCCGTGTTTAAATAGAATACAACTAGATATATTATGCTATTGAGCGACGGTTAGAACAGAAAGCTATGTAAACCAATTTTCATAATCCTGATAAATCTCGATTATAGGTATATACACCATATACCACAATAGTTCCTACCTTTGAACAAGTCGTTTTATCAACTGCGGTAGTATCAATACGAGACAATAACAATAATCTACAACCGTGCCGTCTTTTATTAGATTCCGGTTCACAGAGTAATTTTATTTCAGAATCATTAGTACAGGAACTAAAATTGAAAAAGAGAAAAATGTTCATACAGTAATCGGTATAGGCGAAACTGTTAAAAATATATCCGCGTTGCTTGAAATACAAATTGAGTCGCGTGTAAATAATTTTTGTTTAAATATAAGGTGTTTAGTGGTAGCCAAAGTAACTGGTAGTTTACTTACACGGAGGATAAGTGAAAATATGCAGATGCCAGGTCATATAGTATTAGCAGAACATTGTTCAGGAATCCCCAAAAGGTTGACGTATTATTGGTGGTGGAACAATTTTATGAAGTTTTCGAAACTGATCGGTTAAATATATTTGAAGGCGGACCTACGGCTCAAAAAACAAAGTTTGGCTGGGTGATTTCAGGGCCCATTCCGGAAACGATTTACAATAACCTTAATACAAATAGTAAGAGTTGTCACGTTAGTGAAAAATGTGATAATTGTAGTAATCAACTAAAAGAATTGTTAACACAATTTTGGAAATTAGAAACGATTGAAAAGGAATACCCTTTTACTTTAGAAGAAAATAAGTGTAAAGAAATATTTGATCGAACAGTAACGCGTGATGAAACCGGCAGATTTATAGTAAAATTACCATTTCGTAATCAACCAACTGGTCTCGGAGGTTCTTATGAAATAGCTAAGCGTCAATTGTTATGTGTTAGAGAAAAGTTTTAAGAGCAATGTAAATTTAAAGGCTGAATATTCAAAATTTTTGTTAGAATACGCAAGTTTAGGACATATGACGGAGGTAATTGATGAAAAAGAACAGGACAAGTCATTATGTTGTTATTTACTTCATCACGCAGTGTATAATGAAAATAGTACTACTACCAAAATTAGGGTGGTATTCGACGCATCGTGCAAAACAGCATCGGGTGTAAGTTTAAACGATTGTCTATTAAAAGGACCAACTATTCAAGATGAATTAATATATATTTTAGCCAGATTTCACAAACATAAGTTTGTTTTAACTGGTGATATTGTAAAAATGTACCGCCAGATCAGAGTCACCGAAGCGGATAAAAAGTATCAACAAATATTATGGCATGAAGATCCAGAGGATGCCATTCGGACGTTCAAATTAGAAACTATAACGTATGGTACAGCACCAGCTAGTTTTTTAGCTACTGCTTGTCTGAAAAGGTTAGCTGATGGAGAAAAAACAAATTATCCCAAGGCATGTGAAGTACTTGGTCGCGATTTTTACATGGATGATTTACTTACAGGAGCGCAATCGAGAAAAGAAATTGTTAATTTACAAGGTGAGCTTATTGCTGTATTGTAAAAAGCTGGAATGGAGTCAAAATGGGCGTCTAACATACCTGATTTATTAAGTGATGGTAATGATCATATGAAAGTAAAATTAAAGGAAACAGAAGGTCTATTAAGTTCAAATTCAAAGTTTAATAGGGTTTTAGGTTTATTATGGGAAGCACAAAGTGATGTTTTTAAATATAATGTGTTAAAAATGACGGAAGATAGTAATATTACAAAGAGAATTATTTTATCTTATATATCAACGATATTTGACCCATTAGGATTAGTCGGTCCGGTATTTTTACGATGTAAGCTACTGATACAGAAATTATGGCAATCGCGTATCGGGTGGGATGAGACGTTATCTGAAGAATTAGTAAACGAGTGGCGTAGTTATAGCTGCTATTTCACCGCACCGTCTTGCTATCGATATGCCATTCAATAATAATAAATCGCAGCTTAAATCGGAATTAAAAATGCAGTAAACAATAATGTAATGCAAAAAGGTTATAACAAATTGTTGGGTACGCATTACGAGAGAGCGTTTTGCTACATCGTATTTTTATGAATGATAACGTCTCTCGCACTACCACCACCGGTTGTGTGAGCGATTCATTGCGTTGGATGATTACGTGCGGGATCGATGTAAAATTCTTTGAGTGATAGTGTATGTGGTGCTGTTACTGTTTTGACCCTTGTCAAAGTGTTCCATAAGACTTTTCGTGAATAATAGTTTTTTTTTTATATATAGACAATCGCCCTTGCGATTCGCGTGTACTTTAGTACGCAAATATAGTAAATTCGCCCTGCGACGCACCTGCACCCATCTACATCGCCATATCATCGCCTTGCGATTAACCACATCCCATTGATGTTAATGAATTGCATCCACCATTTGGTTGAAAAGTTATTCATTCCAGATCAATTCATTTGTACAACTTTCAAGACTACAGTAATTGTTAAGTAATTAATTAGTTGTCATTATATTATTACTTTTACATATATTACTATTTATTTGTCTTCGCGCCAATGTTGCATTAGTATTAAGTGACCCCCCGATCCACAATATTATAATAGTTTGAATATATATTATTACTNCCCCCCCATCCACAATCTTATAATAGTTTGAATATATATTATTACTTTAATATAACTTCTTATATTGTAATTCATATTATTTTATTTGGTGTAAGTACCATCCTTTTATATTACAGTCCACTCCCTATTTCTTTCTCCGGCATAATTAGATAACCCAACTGGACGTTAACTAACCCGCACATTAAACCGGGCGTTCCGTTCAAACACAAATTTTTGTATAAAACTTACCCTAGACCTGCCCACAAAGGGGATTTAAAATGACAACCTTTCACAAAAAATTAATTTTTTCAACTTGACTTTTGAAAATATTCCGGAAAGTCTGACACTTTTATATATATCTTAAATTAAAGCTAATGTAATATACTTTATCATGGGAAAAAAAATTTCGGACTTTATATTATCTTCACGGAGAAAATGGATACCAAATGCTAATATTGTTTGAAAATTTTCGATTTTATATTTTATATTTTTAACTTTATAATGCTATAACTTATTGAAAAGTGTATGGATCAACACAATTTTTTTATTAGGAATAGTATTTTTTAATAATCCCTTTTTCATTCGACATACTTTTTTTAATCAGGATATTAATAAGGAACTAGCAGATCATGTATCTTTTGGAAAAATCGACCAATTTTTTAAAATTAAACACTATCTAAAGATTTGCATCGAAGCGTTTTTTTTATAGTGATTTTAATGACTGTCAGATATCATTATACATGATCCAACTATGCCGCATCACCACGTCACCACTGTACCGCGACCTCCACTGTGGTGGGTTATTTTTATGTATATTCTTTTAATTATTATAAATTAAAAAAATTCCACGGAATTAAAAATGCAGTAAACAATAATGTATTGCAAAAAGGTTATAATGATCAAAAGTAATGATTAGCCCATATTTCAGAACGGTAAGTAGGTGGTACGGTATTTGTAAACATATCGTAATTGTCTTACAGTGATCGAAATTCGGTGAATCGTATAATTATAGAAAAAACTCTTGTGTTTTTTTACCCGTTTCGTCCGCTTAAGATTCGTTTGGATTCACGGTTAATAATTTGATGCCTTAGCGTACTGTTGTATGGGCTATCAAAAAAATTATATCTAAAAATATCGCTAGTTAGTAAATGACCACACACTTTTCACGAATAAGTTTTATTAAAAAAAAAAATGTACGCATATATTGATAACATATAATAATAAATTACATATATCATAATAAATATAAAATCGATACAATTTCAAATTAGAAAGAAAAATATTTCACACAAGAAAACAAACAAATATACAACGAAAAAATACTATATAACAAAAAAATATTGAAATGGCATGTATATGAAAAAAAATAACAATAATTAATAAATTTGCATGTACAAAAGAGGTACTATCATAAAGTTATTGTACACGAATTTAATAAAAAAAAAAATACAAAATGTACAATATTTCTAACGGAATCAAATAACATCGAACTGATGTGTCACTCGACATTGGAAACTCAATGTTGCGCATTGTAGAATATTGTAGAAAACGTGTTTCCAATGAAGAAAAAGCCATCCCCGGCGTGTACTTCGATTAAACACGGCCGTTTAAATTGTAAGTACAGCGTCTGGGGCAGAAAAAATAGAGTTATAAGGCGAATATTACATATTTCAATTGGTATTGATGAGTAGGTCGGTATTAGTCGAAATCGGTGTGTCGTATAAAGTCGTGATTGGTAAACGTGAATATTGATGATGGACAAATATATAATATTTACGTCAAAATTGGAATAATGTGCCGGCTTCTAGTTCGTACTTATGCCTCAACCGGACATAAGGCATTGCGAGCGGGTTGATCGGCGTGCCGTCGTCTCTGGACATCTTCTCGGCCAACTCCAAAGATAAAGGTCCGCAATCATAACCGTTGCGTTGTTGCACAGCTTTTCCGTACCGTAAAGTCCATTGGGAAGAATATCCGTAGTTTTCGATCTCCCATTCGATTAGAAATTGTCTAAATAACGACGGGTAAGGGCCATTGTAGGAGTTGAGACTGTCGAAAAACGTTATCGTCTTTTCGGGTACATCGACTACAGTCATGGTCCAATGGTTGTCGTTTACGTGCATGGGCACCAACAGGAGTTTTAAAGAGTGTATGTCGATTTTGATCCATCTTTTCACGCCAGCGTATCCGCGTCGGGAAAGTGCCTTCATAAAATCGGTGATCAGGTAGTGCACTTTGCCTTGCGAACGCGATGCAATCAGACTTAAATACGCGTTGATTGTGTCGCCGCTGTACCACGTCGTCGCAGTGAGAAATGAATCGTACGAGGGCGGGTTCTTCTTTTTCTCGTTCAAATCTCGCGGCGGCACGTCTGCAAGCAAAATTTTTTATTTTTTAATCCGATCGCTTAACTCTCGTTTAAATAATTTATCTAATTTTAAATACTATTATATTTCTAATGCCGTTTATTTAAGTCTAGTTAATGGACTTGTCTTTTTTACCGTATAAGGAAGGACCATCGTTATCGCTCTCGGCCGAGTCTATGTCGATTGATTCAGTTGTTGTGCTCGCGTTATTCGAACTGTATACTCGAGGCGATGTTTTCGTATCGAGGGAAAACGTTGGTGTCTCGTTGAGCTTCCAGACTTTCAAGACCAATCCGTTGGGTTTATCGATGTCGTCGTCAGTCGTCTGCTTCATTTTTTTTGTCGCATAGTATTCGGTATTCGTAGTGAGCTTTCGTTTATTGGACATGCAAGAATATGGGGTGACCCACCCTTGTCCCACCCTTGTCGAACCACCCTTAGATGCGCACCGCAATCTCTCCAATATAGAGATTTTAGGAGACGCATCTAGGGAGTTGGCCGTCGTCAATATCGTACCAGAATCCAAACATACCGTTGCCAATGACCTCCCGGCTATTTCACCGGTGGGAGTGGCTTGGTCACCACCACTCCCTGCAGTTGCAGTACCAACCCCGTGGTTGGCTGCAGGAGCCTGCCTCAACACTCCTGCATTTGGTGCGTATTCGATTGATGACGACACCTGGTGGGTACGCCCCCCACCAACCGCCGGCACTGGGGCATCCGAATCCCCTGATGCAGTAACATTTACTCCTTTCGATTCCATTTTCATAAATGTGATATGATTTGAGGGGGCTGCCCTCATAGCCAGTCCCTCCGGCCAGTGAGCGGCTAACTTCACTGGTTGCGTTGCCGTTTAACTCCGTTCGCACCCAAACGCTACCGCTTATTCGTCCTTATAAAGGCTTATTTCACGGCTATCCTGTATATCTACAGGATTAACAAGCGTTTGGGCGGCTCGCTGTCAGCGACCGCTTATTCGTCAGTCCAAATTAATGGACTGCTTATTTCGCGGCTAACCTGCATATCTGCAGGCCGTTCCTCTATCCGCAACCTGAGGACGCGCCCGATTCCCCGAGCTAGGGAAACTGCGTTCGTGACGACGTTTCGTAGCCCCGTAGAGCCCGATCACACCGACACTGTAACGCAGCGCAACGGGCGTTTATTTAAGTCTAGTTAATGGACTTGTCTTTTTTACCGTATAAGGAAGGACCATCGTTATCGCTCTCGGCCGAGTCTATGTCGATTGATTCAGTTGTTGTGCTCGCGTTATTCGAACTGTATACTCGAGGCGATGTTTTCGTATCGAGGGAAAACGTTGGTGTCTCGTTGAGCTTCCAGACTTTCAAGACCAATCCGTTGGGTTTATCGATGTCGTCGTCAGTCGTCTGCTTCATTTTTTTTGTCGCATAGTATTCGGTATTCGTAGTGAGCTTTCGTTTATTGGACATGCAAGAATATGGGGTGACCCACGAAAGCCGTTTCATTTTTGTAAACGTAAAGTCACAATCGGTAGTACCGTTTCGTTTGTTTTTTATCAGTCCGGTAGCCGATGGCTTTGATATCGTAATCGTGTCAGTGTTGGCGATATATTTCGGTTTGGTAGCAATCTTGTCCGCGGAAGATCCGTTTGGATTCACGGTTAGTATTTTGACGTTGTAGGGCACTCTAGCGTTGGTCGTTTTTGACCGATCGGTGGCCAATACGGTGTTTCTATACATATCGTGATTTTCGTCTGCCGAAAAGGATTCAATACACGACGGTAATGTCTGTACACAGAGAACTCGTAAGCTTTTTGCGAAGATTTTAAAAATTTCAATTGCTTTCCATAACACAAAAATCGCCGTAATTCGTTCAAAATTATTTACTTAAAGTGCGTTTATTTGGTATCCAAGCAAATTCACACAAAAGTAAATATAAATTAATACAGTATACAGTATCACGATTAACACACCGCGTGCCCGTTGAAATTATCAGCCAGATGAATTAAATGTTTTTTTTGTTTTGTACACTCCTTTATTGTAAGGGATCTTTCGAGTTCCTTCCATTCAAGAATAGTCAAATTGATTTAAAATCAGGTTTCCCGAAGGAAAAGTGATTATTCGACTTTAAGTTAATCTGTGATATTTACATTTTATAAATTTGTAGATGAAATTAATATAAATAATTAAGAGAGTTATTTTTTACATTCGTATTTAAAAGCCTATGCATTTTTGAAGCTATTTGCAGATTTAATAATTTTACCTGAAATATTACTGATACGAAAGCAAAGATTGTATTAAGTGTGTCAACAAGCTCCCGTTTCCCCTACTAAATTTTTGAAGTATTTCACTTTACTTTAGTCAATTTTTTACACCTATTTTATAAATTAAATTAATAACTTTAATAGAAAAATAATAATAAATCACAATATCCGTAGTTTTCGATGGCATATATATATATAAAATTACTTACTTCTTTTATTCTTGCAAATTGCTGTAAAATGATTTGATAAATATGTTATCTCGATATGTTTATATATGTTTAAAAGTATTTAATTCGCTCTTCGTCAAAAGATAAATAATTAAAACAAGTTATTTTCATGTATAAATAAAACGCGTAAAAGTCAGCCTACAACAACACAGGGCTGTGACTGATAATTATTTCTTTTTATTCTTATTTCAATCCGGAGAAAACGAACTCTCTCGCTCGTTGTCACTCCTTCATCTCTCCTAAGAGTCTGAAAGGATTTCAGTGCTTTTTATAGCACCAAAGAAAAAGGAATATTACCATTCATATGTATATGTAAATTTTAGTTTACTAAAAATCTAGAGCAATCGCCAACGGTAAAATAACAGCTCATAAAATATTTTTGAGCATTGAGCTCATATTAACTGGAAGTGCAATAACGAATAATAATTTATCATTTACACAAAAATATTTGAACTCCCTATATTTTTTTTTCCAGAAATATGAATAAATATCTATTGACTTTTATGACTTTAAATTAATTAAAACTTTATAATCTTTTGTATTAAAATATTTTTATGTAAAATAATAAAAAATTATAAATATAGTATATTTACTATTATATAATAGTAAATTATAAAAATTTTTATACCCACGCATAGTTATTAATTATTTTTTATAATTTATTATTATTTTTAATAGGTACATTATTTAAAATAAACCCAGCACAGTGGGGTTGAGGCACAGTATTTCGTGGCATAATTGAGTCCAGCATAGAAGATATCTGACAGTGATTAAAATCACTATCATAAAAAACGATTCGATGCAAATCTGTAGATAGTGTTTAATTTAAAGAAATTAATGGATTATTCCAAAAGCTATAGGACCTCCTATTTTATTATTTATATTTTGAATTATATTATATATCTACGAATTTACCACTGAATTTTTATCATTTTTTTCAAAATGTCAGAAAAAATTCAGAGTTTTACGTAAAATACACCA